TATTTTTTAAGGCAGTAAAAATGCTAGATATGATTTTTTCGGTCCCTACTTTTAAACAATGGATCACAATTATAGTGACCGAAAATCACTGTCCGCCTTCGAAAAGAATTATGATCCCATCAGATACATGGTTAAAAGGCGGTGTAAAAAATATGAGGAAGAAAAAAATCTTTTCTCCTGAACTTCATTTTGAAAGAAAAAGAAATAAATAACAACGATATTTTTACGTTTCTTGATACAAATTCAAATCTTACTTTCTTTCGATAAAAACTAAAGTAATTTTAAAGATGCCGTTCACTGCAACCGATATCTGTAAGATTTTTGCAGCAATCTTTATTCCACCACTTGGTGTTTGTCTCGAACGCGGTTGTTGCCATGCTGATTTTTTCATTAACATTTTGCTGACTATTCTCGGTTATATTCCTGGTAAGTACAGTATATAGCTATAATCAATGTGTTACTTGTACTCGATGCTACATAATCAATAATATAAATTTACTGTATATACTGTATATTTTCGTTTCTATGTTTACAGGGATTATCCATGCCCTCTACATCATTCTCAAGTATTAACATTCTTCATCGTGGGCTCGTTAATGACCACGTGTCGAATTTATAATCATTTTTATTAATCATTTTATTTATTTATTTACATATCAAATAATATCTATGATAATTCTGTAAAATTTCGTGTGGTTTTTTAAAAAATAATGTTGCGTTATTTAGCAAAATAAAACAAGCGTTTTTTTTTTTTTTTTATAGTCATAAAATCGAATATAAAATTCAGACACCAAATCTTTATTTTTTTTTTTGAACTTAACCTCTAGAATTAAAATACACGAAATGAAATATTTTGTCCATGTATCATATTTTCACGAAGACAGTTGCATCCAAACAAATATATTGTTATGGGGAAAATGTGATGGGTAAATGATAGGTAATTATAAGGGTAGGTATAAGTGGTATATCAGGTATAAAGAGTATATCACGTATAAAAGGTATATCTGGTATAAATAGTATATCAGGAATAACAGGTATAATTGGTATAAGGTCAAAATGTATATAAGCAACTTGAGAATGTACAAAAAGTAAAAACAATTAGGATAGGTACTGTGCAATAGATAATTAATAAACTGTCTTTATTAATAAACTGTCTTGTAAAAATATTCCAGTGTATGTAACTAATGGAATTTCTATACGAGGAAGTAACAATTAAGGACGCAAGATTGATAGACTAATCTGTGTTAGCGTTATGAACTCTGACCAAATTCATATACCTCTTTTGAACAGAAACGAGACCCTATTGTTATATGGTGTGAAACAGATTGAAATGACTGACTTGCCATAATTTTTCTATAACAATATATATATATTAAAGATAAATATATATTAATACATATTTTTATTAATACATAATATTTAAACAGATATCAAATATCTTCTATATATGAAAACATTTTTTTTTATTATCGACTAGCAGGGCCTTACCCAGCGTTGGCTTTATTTAGTTCACATATGTATTTTACATGTATTACAGGTAATTACTATCTATGAGCTATTCTAGACCACCATGAATTATTATCGGATTTTACTTCCATATTGGTTTTTTGCTATTGACTGCCATCTCAGACAAGTTAAGACTAATGTGTATATGCTCCATTAGTGTTGCTATTTTATGTTAAGTTCTATTTACTAACTGGGAATGTTTAAGGGGAAGTGAAAGGGAAACTGGGGAGTAGTACCTATTATGGCGAATAGAACTCTGTAGAGGAAACCTCTAATCCAAACCGAACTATCAGTAACTTGCAGGAAGAGACATCAGATACCACGGGAAGCAATCATCAAGCCTTCTTTTCTCAAACCGGACGCCTTTTACACCTTTTTGTTGTCCAACTTCTGGTGATCATCGTAGCACCAACCGGATGATCGTCACACCACGACTTCTTTTCTGGAGATCATAATCTTAACGCCTACCAGATTGGTATGTGAAATGGCTTCTTATGAGAAACGGCACATGACTGGCTATAGTACCGGATACTATATTAATTCTATTCAATCACCTTTACATAGGATTGAACTGGTATCTTGTGATTTGACCTGTGAA